CTGACATTCTTGTCTCTTGCAGAAATGACCTCTGGCAGTGTGGCCCTTTATGTCCTTGCTCTCATGTCATCTTGTGTGAACCCCAGTGACATCAAAATTCAGGGGAAGACCATCAACTTGACCAAGGACTTGGAGAAGAAAACACATGAGGAGGTGGCCTGCTATGGTAAGTGATTGTAACAGACCAGGTTGTGGATGGTCTGGTCTAGTGGTTAGGCCACCAAAGCAGGGTCAGAAACCAAGGCATAGTCCAAAACACAGGCCCAGTCTAGGGTTAGGAAGCAGATAACAGGTTACCAAGTCCAGGGGCAGGGTCTGAATCGCAAGCTAAGTCAAAGTTCAGGAGTCAGAGGCCAAATGACCAAACCCAAGAGAAAATCCGGAAGCCAGAGTTCAGGAGCAGAGTCAGGAAGCCAGGAGTACTGGTTCACAGCAGTTTGCCAGGGCAAACCTTCAAGTCTGCCGCCACAACTTGAGCTAAATAGGGAAGCTGCTCTCCCAGCAGCCAATCAAGATGCCCAGACAGTGGCCAGCTGGAAACATTAGCTAGGTTAGGGCTACCAGTCAAAGCCCCAGGCAGGCGTGACCCACTAGGTAATTAACTCACACTGGGCTGCCTCTTATGGCCCCTGACAGCAGGCTTTGCACACCTGAGCCTGGCTTCAAGGCCCTGCTGTAGTGACTAGGTGACCTAGCACAAATTGCTTCCCTTCTCTGTGCCTCTGTTTCTCAAATGCCCAGGATTACAGTGCCCCTGTTTTGAGAGCTATGGATTAAGAGGGAAAGGGATAGTTATTGTTATCATCAGGGACTGGTGTGCAGGCTTCACTTCAGCTGGGGAGACCCAGCCTGATTCTGCTCTGGCCTTTGTCTGTTTGTTAACAGACAATAGAGAACAACAGATGCTGCCACATTTTTCAGGATGCTCAGGTTAGCACAGTGCAACCCCTGCCCCCAATCTCAACCAAGAAGTCAGTAAATGTCTTGCTCTGTCTCCACACGGGGCCTGGCAGTGGTGAAAGGTACTTGACATAATACTGACAGCCCAAATGTCACACAGCAAAGGCAGGACCAAGCAACCTCCCCTCAGTCAAACCCGGTCACTGGGCCTCCCCCACCTGGCCCTTCAGGGAGGAGAAGGCAAGAGAGTCTCTGTGGTCCAGTGTGTGCTGATATGTGCTGTGGTGCTTTCCAGAGGAGAACGGCTACCCCAAGACCACATACTACCAGCTGGGCCTGGACGTCCTGGCTCTGTGCCTGAAGGGAGAAAGGAGTAACGAGATGGCAGCTATAATCCTGGCTAGGGAAGCGGTGCAGAATATCAACCTTTCCATGGGTAAAAAAGCTGCTGCTTTGCATATCAGCCCTTCTTTCCCCTCTGCCTCCCTGCTCAGCAAACCAACCCCCACCTCCTTCCTTGAGCCCTCCCTTCCTACTCCATATAAGCTTAGGTGTCGAATCTGCTCCTCACTAGCCCCTATTTTGCCTCCTGAGCACCCAATACCCTCTTCCCCACTCACTGTTCCTGCTGCTTGAAGCCATGCTCCCCAGAACACAGGGTGGCTCCCAGCCTCATTCTCGCGTGCCATCCATGTTAGTCATGGTGATGACAGGACAGGATGGGGTTTACAGATACCAAGTCCATGGCAGCTCTGGCACTGAGATGTGTGTACAATGAGATGAGCAAGCATCCGCAGAATCCGGACCGGCTACTAATTGTGGAGGGGCTGGAAAACCTTGCAAAGGATATTCTCCGCGCCCAGCAGCAAGGCCATGGCATCATCGGAAATATCTATAGTGTTGGCTTGGCCATGCAGGTAAGCTCTTCCCACCGTCTTCAAAGGGGAGTATTTCAAAATTGGTTGCCATAGCTACCAGGAACAGAAGGGCAGAGGGTGTAGGGCTGAGTGTTGGGCGACTGTACAGAAACACTGAGCTCTGTGTTCTCCTGCTATGCCCCATTCCTCTAGCCAAGGCCTCTCACTTCTTTACTTTCCAGGCGCTCAGTGTCACCCCTGAGTTCTTTTCCCCTATGGTGTGGAACTGCACAGAAACCCTCACCAAAGTGCTGACCCAGGTCTCCAGTGGGGCTTTTAGCAACCCCATGGCTGCCTCCCAGATCCTCCCATTCTTTGTGGGCAAAACCTATTTGGATGTGACCAAAATAAACTGTCTCTCAGACAGTGAGCAGCAGGAGACGACTAGAATGCCTCCAGTGACATCCACCATGAGCAGCATGGCAGGTACTGTCCTTGGGTAGCCAACAGGCTCCTGCCTCCTGCTATTCTTGCCTGCAAATATAGTCCACACAGCTGAATCCAAGTCCAAGCAGCTGCTAGGCAGCTCTGGCACAGTCCAAGGACTGCACCAGGGAACACATCAGAAACCAGAGTGAGCATGTTGCGCTCTTTGCTGGGCTGGGGAGATATTGGTGGACATGTGGTCTCCCTCTCACCCCATCTCCCTACTACCATTTCCATACTGCCTCTAGCCTTGGAGCCATATTACTACCTGTCGTAATGCCCTAGTGCTCGCTTTCTCACTTGCCGCGGCACTCTTTTGAAACATTCCATTGCTGATTGTTGCAGCGACCTCTTTGGAATGGTTCTGGTTGCCAGCTATACCCAGTCCAAAGTGCACCACCCCACCAGCTCAGCAGCACATCAAAAGGGTAATTACTCACTGAGGCAAGTCCCTTTCCCTGTATCCCAATGGTGTATGGTCACACCCTTCCTCTACTGGGAGGTCATTGTCACTCTTACCCTCTTTTGAGATTTGCCCCCAAAATGCCAGGGCAAAACCTGCCTACTCTGAGCACAGCTTTATCCATTCACACACTACCACTGTTGTTTATGGGAATAGGCCAAGGCAAGAGGCATCTGCAACAGGGCTCTGACGGAGCCTGTAGTATTATCCTTTTTCCAGCATGGAAGGGCCAGGACAGCACAAGTGCAGCAGACACAAAAAAAGCCTCCTGAACCCACTTTCAATCCATGTGTTAGGTTCACCTGTCTCTTCCTTCCCCCTCTCCTTGCTCAGTTACAGTGAACTACACTATCATCAACAAGCTAAGAGGGCAACCCTTCTGGAACTCCACCTTGGTGCGAGTGCCTAAAGGCTCTGTGCTGCTCGATGTCCTGAAAGCAGCTCGGGATAAAAATGCAATGGTATTCAGGTGAGAGGCAGATCCGGGACCATCATAAATGCAGGCTCACATTTACTGCTCTGCCGGGGTAGCTCTCCTGATACCACATCTGTGCCACCTCTGACCAAGCTAGGAACTGCATTACAGAAACATGACCTAGCCACTCAGTTCTGCTCCTCTTACTATATCTCAGAAATGTAAAGTGGTGAGAGTGGCACTGGGCAGTGGCACCGCTAAGGTGGGGTGACTAGGGCAGCAGCCCCAGGCACTTACTTTGGGGTGGGGCAAAAAAACAATAGCTGCTATTGCAGTCATACAATTGCATCAGCAGCACTGACAGCTGGAAGTTGCCACTGCCCTTGCGCATTGCCTCTGCCCTGGTGCCCAGCTGCCCTGTTATGTCTCTGGCACTGGGCACACACTTAGAAGCATAGCTGGGCCTGAACATGGTGCCAGGTCTTCACCAAACAGCAGCTACATTTCCTTTCTTTTATTAGCATTTGGCCAATGCAAAGCAGAGGCAAATGGGCAAGGCACATTCTCAGAGTGGTGGCCCTAGCATAGTCAGAAGCAGCATAGGTATGGCCAGGGTGCTCTACTGCTCCGAGGGCTATGGGGCCAAGAGCCAGCCTTGAACAACTTCTGGACAGTGGCAAATTTACTGTGAAACAAACCCCAATGACAGGGGACCCCGCCACCGACACCGCCGCCGGGGGAGATTCGGCCCTCAGCCAGAGAAACAGAGGCGCCTCCCACGTTTTGGGCCTCTTCAGCTGTTTCGGCCAGAAATTCTGGCCACCGCTTCTCCCCCATGGCTGGTGTGCTGCGCTAATTCCCCCACAAACGTACCATGGGGCAGAGGTGGGGCCCCACACCCTGCTTGGATCATCCCGGGGGAGCAGGGGGGTACAAGTGTAGGCGTTGGCCCCTGAGCCTCAGGGGCCAATGGTACAGCACTGCCTGAACATGAAGCTGTGCACAGGGCCCCACTAACCGTAAATCCACCACTGCTTCCAGACCCAGCCCAGAAAGGGGTCAGGTATTCTGTATGAAGGCATGGGAGACAGGCTCATGAGGCAGGGCAGTGAGTGGTTCCATGTTTTGGCTATCAAGAGAGAGGGAGGGATGGAGAGAAACAGCTGGGAACTTAACCCAGCATTAACAGAGAAACTACTTTTGAGACCTAAGTTTGTATATCTGAAGAACAAGACTACCTGGAAAGAAATGTGTGTGTGGCTGTTGATCTGTCCTGGCAAGCATGGATGAATCCCAATGTGGAGGATAGAAGCAACAGCTAACCTGAAGCCAGGGCAGCTAAAAAGGTGCTAGGATGCTCAATCTCTCTCCCAAAGCCTGTTTCCCTCTGTTTTCCCTTGCCTGTCTCTGCTCTCCTTCACATGCAGCCGTGTTTTTTTCTGACTCCCATGACCATTATTGCAGTTTTAAATTGGAAGAGACCTCCTGGGGCCTGATGGTAATCTCCATCCATGGCCTTGCTGCCAGCTCCAGAGACAAGACCTACTGGGAGTTCTTCAGTGGTGAAACGCCTCTGGATCAAGGTGTGGTGTAATGGGGAGGTTGGGGCTGTGCTGAACTGGGGCCAGGCAAGATGGTTTTCATTGTTCATCTCACTTGTCCTCAGAGTTGTGATGGCTCTGGTACACTTGTCACCATCAGCTGCATGTGCATGCCTGAGGATGCTTTGTAGGAAGGCAGAAGCTATGAGAAGTTCAGTCTTTGCAGCCCCATTCACGTTATCCCCCCACTCCCCTATCTGTTCCAGGCGTTGAAAGTTACAAGCTAACGGGCAATGAAAGCATCAAGGCTGTTTTCAGCACATATGGAGTACAAGAGGAGTAGCTGGAGTGGGACCTGCCTCCTGTCATCCTCTATCAGCACAAGTAGGACAGATCCCTCCAGGTTGAAGAGAAGTAGCAGGACAGGTTGCAGATGTGTTTGAAACACACTGAACCATGTAGAGTTGTGAATGCAGGAAGCTCGAGAACAGAAAAAGAGTTTTTGGGGTATCCTGATCACAGAGTGTTTATTCCAATAGTATCTGCAATGGCAGGGTGTCAATAAAGTTCTCCATTTCTAAAGAGTCCCTAAGCTGTGATTGAATTATTCCCTATTAGAACCTGGCAGGCCTTTCTTACATAGGGGCTTCTGAATCAGCCCAAGCTAAGATACTGATAAAGTTTCTTCCAACTAAAGAAGCTCCAGGATAGATTATTATCTACCAGATGAGTATCAGTAAATTCTTATACATCTAAAGGGGATCCTAGAACAGCATGGCCACTGCAGTTAACAAACAACAACTACAACTGTTCTTATTATCTAAATTTAGGTTTATATTGTGCCCTTATCCAAAAAAGGCTCAGAACGTCTTACAATAAATGACAAACAACCCATGGGTAAGAAACAATAGCACTCCTCCCCCCACACAACAATTCAAAATTCCATCCATCCCATCCCACCCCGCTGCCCACTCCCACTTCCCTACCAATCACACATAGGGACAAGCCCTTCAGCCAACCCCAGCAGTGCTTCCCAGCATTCCTACCCTTACATGACATCTACCATAGGTATAAGAAACCTCTTTCCACTGGTATCAATACATTTCCCTGATATCTAAAGTTCTCTTAGATCAGGATATTCTGGTCATCTCATGCTATGGTATCAATTCAGTTCTTCCCTTTCTAAAAGGCCTTCAGGTTAGGGTGTAAATTGCAAAATAAAAATAAAAATGGAGTATCAATGAATTTTTAGAGGTCTGGTGACCATATTATTTTTAAGGAAATCCGAGACACTGTGCTTCAAGTGAAGGTGTGCAGTGTTGGCCTTAGAGGTGGGCAACTGCCCAGGGCACCACACACACACACACACACACACACACGAGCAGCCTGCACTCTCACACACACACACGAGCACCCTGCACTCACACACACACACGGAGCAGCACGCTCCTCCCACCCCACGACCAATTCCCACCCCAGGCAGGAGTGGTCCCCGGTGCAGTCTGCCCTCACCCCTCCAGCTGCTGCTCAGGAGGAGTTGGGCCAGGCATATGCAGGCAGGGTGGTGACTGCTCTAGTCTGTGCATCTTGCTCCCGCCCAGCAGCAGTGGTGCCTCCCCACACACCTGCCTGGCACACCATACTGCTTCACCTCCCTGCTGGACTGTGCCCTACCCCCCTGCTTCTGCCAGCAACAACATTGCTGACGTGGGGGGAGGGGGTGCCAAAATACAAGTTTGCCCAGGGCACCATTTTCCCTAAGGCTGGCTCTGCTGCCACATGCTCATGTGCAGTAGAGTTAGTAGAGAAAAAAGGGATCGTGTTAGGTGGCTCACTCTGGGACTTTTGTTTCAATTTTCACAAACTGGCCAGGACACCAGGAAGGCCTATGAAATCCAGGGCTGTCCTGGCCAAGCCTGATCACGCTATTTAGAGGAGTCCCAGGTAGGGACTTTACCTGAAAGTTAACACCTGGATACCAATGCGGCCTCAAGATGAGACAGTCCTTTTGAGGGAACAATAGAATAGCATCACTAAGGACACCCACTTTTAAAAGCAGTGGTTCTCAACTTCTTCCACACCCTGCATGGCATTGCCAGCTCTTGTGATTATAAAATAATACTTGTGTGATATCACAAACCTTATATTCTGTGTTTCCTAGCCCAGATAGCCTCACTATGCCCAGAGCTAAAGACAAAGCCCAGAAGTCCTGGTTCCCATCTTCTTCTGCACCAGCCATTAGACCCACAACCTTCCTGGAGTAGGTGGAGAATCCAGGAATCCTGACATCCCCCTTGTGCAGTTCCACATTAGCCCCAACAGTGGTCCAGCCCTGTCCAATGGACAATGGGTGGACTCTGGTGTGACCCAACCATGTGTTATCAGACGGTGGGTGGTGAAGGCTGCTAATCCAGGAGTAGTTGTTTTGTCAAGCAAACAGCTGACCGCTCTTTCAGAGAAAAGCTGGGGAATATGATCTGAGGGCCTGAAGGCTCAGAATCCAGCAAGCAAATGCAATGAACCTCCAAGGTATCAGTCTTCTAAAGACCTCACGATAACCATACATTTCAATGGGGCCTTGAGGATGAAGTTTCGAATGTCTTGAGCAGGAGGTATTGCCTACGGAACCCCGTATTGCAACAAAGTAGAATCAACAAACTTTTGGGGAGCAAGATTCAGGACACAGTCCACAGATCTCTGCAACTGGAAGCATACGGCATTTATACATACACATTGTCTGCTCCGATGCACTGGAGATCCAACGCACTGGAGCAGACTTGATTAAGTCTGCTCCGCACACGAGCTGATGCACTCGGCGCTGTGTTGCATGCATTTGTATAAACAGCAAAATGCAGGTCAGCACTAAGAAAATGGTGGCGGTGCACTTTTGAACTAAAACACCTTCAATGTGTTTTAGTTCAAAAGCGTGCCACTGCCATTTTTTCAGCACTGATGCACATTTTGCCATTTATACAAATGCATACGCTGCGGCGCAAGCATGTGTACAAATGCTCTTAGTCTTTGAGTCATGGAGAAGTAGGGCTCGAAGGGACCTCCAGAGGTCTAGTCCAACTCCCTGTCTGAGGCAGGATCACTCCTCTCCAAACCATAATCCTAACTCTGTATCAGACTACTGTCAACCCAGACACAACACAGACCTAACACCCTCACCTGCCACAGGTAAAGCAGGGGACCCACAGTACCTAGTGTCCTGCTTCTATAAAATGTTGTCAATATATTATGCTCAAAAGATCCCAGGCAGAGAGCCATGGGCCCCTGCTATAGAGGAAGGCAAAAAAAACCCAAACCCACAGCTTGTAACAACCTGACTATATGGTAAAATTTCCTCCTGACCCCAAATATGGTGCTTGGTCTGACTCTGAGTGGAGAGGCAAGGCCCCCTAGCCAGGACCCCCTTAGCAGCAGCAAAACTGCTGTCATAGCAGTGTATAAGTTTCATTGCAGTTAACACAATTGCCACAGCAAGCTGCTGGGGCCAGGTTAACTAACTGCTGGGAGGCAGAGTCAAGTACCTGGGGTGTAGTATAGTACAGCATGACTACAGCTACAGTGTTCAGTTCAGGAGGCAACTGATTCAGGAGGCACAGCATTGTGCCACATGCATCAAAGCAGCCGGATGCTACCCAGATCTGCAGGCCCATGCAGGGTCAGCCTATCCAGGACCAAATTTGGGACAAAAGTCTGTTACAGGGTTCTTTGGGGATAGCCCCAAATTTTGGGACCCTTCAGCACAGTGATTCTGGCACAGGCGGTGTCAGCCCTGTAGGAAAGAAAGCGCAAGTGGGTGAGGGCCCATCGGCTACAACAGGGGGTCCCACAGCTTTTCCCCTGCAGGGCCATTTCCCAAGAGCAGCCCTGGATTGGGGGCCGCATCCGAGGGACTCGTGGGCTGCACAGGGCCCGCAGGCTGCACCTTGGGAGCCCCTGGACTGCAGGGTCGGGCAGCACCCAGGGATGCTGCTGCAACAGTGGGGACTGAGAAGGTCTGGCTTGTACCAGGGCTGCTGGGGCGGAGCAGAGGGGACCCCTTGGGGGCAGCAGGCAGATTGTGGCGGCACATGCCCATACGCAGCAAGACCCCACAGATGCTCCCCCCACCTGCGACCAACAGGGGACTACCAACCCCTACAAGACAAACCACTTCCCCCACCGGAACCGCAAGGTCACAGCTTTTGTTTCCCCCGCCTCCTAGAGGCTCTTGTCTTACCGGAAGTGCTTCTTCCCGGACGGGTTAAAAAGTGGCCCCAAGATAGCTGCGCCCTGTGGCCGTTTCCTGCTGCTCGTCCGCCTTTCTGCGGTGCCGGACGGCTCGTGGTGGGGGGTTCCGACGCGAGCGCAGCTCTGAGCGCGCCCCCCTCCCGCGTGACACCATGTGGCGGCGGCTCACGCGCCCGCTGCTGTCGGCGGCCTCCACAGGTCGGGGGGGGGTGCTTAAAGGGCCAGCGCCCCCTTTGTGGGGACCCCCCACACACACACCCTAGGGTGCTGGTGTCCCTGGTGGGGCCGCGCTGCCCTGTCTCGCTAGGAGGGGGCGGGGCGGGACGGGACTCCTGGGCTCTCTCTGGGTAGAGCTGCCTGCCCACCCCATTCTCCCGTCTGCAGGGGCACGTGCATGTTTGCACCTGGACACACGTGTGTGGGCACACCTGTGCACTCGCATGCGAGCACGCTCACTCACCCGGGCAGTCAGGAATGGGGGTGGGGTGATTGCCCTGTGGCTGGGCCTGCCCCCCACCCTGCCAGGAGGTGTTTCCCTTGTGTACCCCTGCAACCCTGTCCCCAGGTGGGCAGTGCCTGGCCCCAGACCTGAAGGACAGGACATGGCAGCAGGGAGGGGGCAGGTGGACATCTGGCAGGGCAGGAGCCCTCCCCACTCCAGCTCTCATTCCTTTCATCTTGCAGGTCCCAGGGGTGCAGAGCCCCCTTGTGCCGGGCTGAAGAGGTACAAGCTCCCTCCAGACTACAGCAGTGAGTGAGTGGTGAGGAAGGGGGTGGGCACTGACATGGGGAGGGCATCATGCTGCCTGGGGCCAGGAGTAGCACCTGCCTTGGAAAGGCGGGGGGGTGCATGATGGGGGATGCACGGAGCACCCATGAGCATGGGGTTTTTTCCCCCCCTTTTCCATAGGGCAGGTACAGGAGGAGCAGAGGGTGCCAGAGCAGTGACTCAAGATGTCTGGGTCACTTGTTTAAAGGCCACCTTCCCCCCTCTCCCTGTCATGGGGGAGAGCAGCCTGCCGTCCACAAGGCAGGTGACTGACTCCCACCCATGCGCACACACAGCAGACAGAGAGGGGATCTTTAGAGCATATCCTGACCCTCACTGTAGAAGAGCCATGTATGTATTAGTTTCATAGTTTTGTAAAATGTCCCTAATTGCCCATCTCCATTTGCAATGGAAGACGCTGCCTATAGAAGCAGGATGCCCTTCTCAGATGCCTGGGGGAGGGGGATTACGTGCCATCTTCTGCTAGTTCTTCCCTGCCTTTGCCCTTGGGGTCTGGGCCCATGAGTGTGTGAGGGGTGG